CACACCCTTCAGGGTGGGGGTCCCCACTGGGGTGCCTGGCCAGCCTGGATGAGGGGATGATGGCTGTTTGCAGCTGCTCACACACCCTTCAGGGTGGGGGTCCCCACTGGGGTGCCTGGCCAGCCTGGATGAGGGGATGATGGCTGTTTGCAGCTGCTCAGGAAGCAAGCCTCATGTTCGCTTCCAGCTGCCTGGCTGCCGGCCGCCATCTTGGCTGACAGTTAATTTGCATAAGGATATGCTGATTAGCCAATGGGAAGGGTAGCGGTAGTACGCCAATTACCATGTTTCTCTTTTATTAGTGTAGATTGTTTATAAGAGGGACATAGGGTTTTAATTTTATTTTCTTTGAACAAGGTTCCTTGTATAAGGAGTTTAGTATTAGGGGAATACTTACTTGATAAAATGAGTTCAGAAGTGGAAATAGTTTCTCCTATTCTCTTTTTAAAAATGTTTTAAAAATGTAAGATTTGTATCTTTTACTCCTTAAATATACTTAAAATAATTTCCAGTGAAGATATCTGGCTCTGGAATTTTCATTGTAAGTTGTTTTAAAATTATGAATTCAACTTCTTTTATCTTTTTTTAAAAATATATTTTATTGATTTTTTACAGAGAGGAAGGGAGAGGGATAGAGAGTTAGAAACATCGATGAGAGAGAAACATCGATCAGCTGCCTCCTGCACACCCCCTACTGGGGATGTGCCTGCAACCAAGGTACATGCCCTTGACCGGAATCGAACCTGGGACCCTTCAGTTTGCAGGCCGACGCTCTATCCACTGAGCCAAACCGGTTAGGGCTTCTTTTATCTTTTAACTATGAATTAAACCTCTTTACTAGTTTAAGGCTATTTGGATTTTCTATTTCTTCTTGTGCCAATTGTGGTAATTTGAAATTTTGAAAGTTAAAATTACTATAATTGACACAAAATGGTAGTGTAAAATTTTTTGAATAAAGTGCTGTATTAAACAAAAGTCAGTTTTAAAATTTAAGTGTAAAATATAGAATGAAAATTTAAACACAGGTTATCTTTTTTTAATCTTCATGCTTATATTTCTTCTTTATGTGATAATATTAAATACCCCAGATGAATTCTTATAAGCAAGACATTGTTAATATAAGAATTATGTACTTCTGTGTCATGATTCACCTCAATAATATCATCAAGAGTAAATCTAAGGCGCATTTTTTTCTGCTCTGTGTTCCTGGTTCTGTAAACATTTCATGTGAAGGCAAGTGTAAGTATTTCTTCTATCTGAGTAACACTTTCTGCCAAACTCTCAATTTTATCTATGGAATTTGTATTCATTCTCATTCTCTCTCTTTCTCCCCATATGGTAGGGGATGTTGTAATTTTTATTTCTCTGCGTAAAATATTTCTGTGTGTTTTATGAAATGATCCAATGTATTTCTTATGGATTCATTAAGTGGGAAGATACAATTTAAAATGCTGTTACATCCAAAGATCAGAATAAATTTTTCAGATATTCTTCATATTTCTGATATATGACATGGACTTTCAGAAGCCATGTTGCTTCAAAATAATCTTTCATTTGAGTTTGTATTTATTTGGTTGCTTAACATTTGTAAATTATTAAGCTGTTATTACACAGACCTACTTTAGTTTGGATTAGTATGGAACATATCCCAGTATGCTCAATCAAGGTATCCTGTATAGTGCAATCTCTAAAAGATAGGTGTGTGTGTGTGTGTGTGTGTGTGTGTGTGTGTGTGTGTGTGTGTAATAAATAGCATTTTTGGTAGAACCAATTATCTTATGCTCTTTTTAGAAAATTAGTTAAGAAAGGCTTCCCATCCCACTTTGGAGTTATCTACATAGTTCCAGGCAAGCAAAATAATACTTAATACTATATTCAAAAAGAGAGTATTTAAACATACATAACTGTATTGCTTCTTAGTAACTATTTGGCTCATTTTTATACGTCTGTAATGTTTAATATGAAATATGTTAAAAGGTCTGAGAAAAATATTCTATTATATTTTCTTTATTATTCAGTAAGCAATTTCTTTTTCTTTGTAAACTTTGTAGTAGGAGTAATTTATATAACTAATAATTGAGATTGGGTGTGGTATTTTAATTAAATATTTTGACTTTTTTATAGTTAATTTTGCTTTCAAATTAGAAGGTAGATTAACCACACTTACAACCAGTTTTGAAATATAAATCTAAAAATGTTGCAGTGCACAAGAAAATAAGATATAGGAAAATATTTGGAATTAAACTGTATATTCCAAATTAGACTAAACACCACAAACATAAATGAATAAATAATAGTTTAAAAATATTAAATTAGCTGCTTTTACTTACCCAATAACTGTAACCTTTTAAATAAATTTAAAGTGATATTAAGTGAATTGTTCAATTTAACTGTAATTAGTAATAACTATATTTTGTTTGCTTTTGTTGATCCTGTAGCAATTCTGCACATAGTCAAAATTTGGAACTTTCCCAAATTTGGCAATTACTTTTTACTGGCCCATTTTTATAACACTTAAAAACATGAAGCAATAAAAATAAGAATTTTCTAGAAAATATAAAGATGTACAATTAAGTGAACAGTCTCCTTTGTTCTTCTTTTAATCAATATCATCATGCTCCTTTCTGCCCTTTGTGTTTAACTCCACTTTGGAATTTTTGTATTAATTGTAAATTTTATTGTTTTTCTGTATGGTTTTAAAGGAAATTTATACACTTACCCTAAGGATGCTTTAATATTTTTGTAGAAAGGGGCTTAATTTAGACTATGAATAATATTTTGCTTATAATTAGTGTAAGAAATACAAACTTAATGTCTACTTAATTGATATAAAATAGTCAGTGTTTCATAACCACCTCCTTTACTACAGCAGGTCCTCCAATAATGTTATTTTTTTCAATGTTGTTTCCTCATAACATTGATGAGATGCCATAGAAACTTAACTCTTGTTTATTTCAATTAGCCTATGGTAAGTTTGGTTGTTCTGTTGTTTCACTCAAAGTTGTAGAACCTATCAATGACTTTAAATGAGGACTTACTGCACATGGTATGGTTTCAGACATGCTCATCATTTGTCTGTCAGTTAAGAGGCAACTAATGAGGAAGCATAGCACCTGTCCCCATCTGGGTCTAGGCAGCAGAAAATAAATGTCACTGTGCATGGAAGTCATGGCACTGGGACATTGCCCTTAGATGTAATCTCTTGATATGTCCATGTATAACCCATGAGGACTTCTGAGGGACCTTATTTATGACATAAGGAGATTGTGATACATTGAGTATAACATAGCCTTATTCAGAAATTGAAGATACATTCCACAAATCCTCTGTTTTGATAAAGGCTTATGCAATGCATTGTTCATCTTGTTTAACATCTTAGAAATGGGAATTCTGTGATATCGATTATAAAACAATATGTAGATACTAGAGGCCCAATGCACGAAATGCATGCAAGGGACTTCACCCTCGAGGTCCTGGCTTTGTCTGGAAGGTCATCCAGAAAGATGTCTGAAAGGTAGTTTGGCTGTCCTGTCTAATTAGCATATTATGCTTTTATTATTAGAGATCATGCCTGCCTAACTACTTTTGTGAATCTAATTAATTTTATGATCTGAGGGAATGAATTAAGCTTTAACAATCTTAAATATTTCTTGCAAATATCTCCGTCATAGTTTTCCCCAGCCGTATTAATTCATTAGAGTTTCCTTACTTAGAAAAAGCAGCCGTTTTTAACAGTTTATCGGCAACATTTTCTATGTTAAGAAATATATTATCTTTTCTCCCTCTTTTTCTTATTTTTCCTTTAGCTTTTGTCAAATTTTATGGCTGCAGTTATAAGTTTCGCCCTATCTGTCTGAATGTTTCAGTTGTACATTTTCTCCTTTCTGCCAAATAAACAAAGCTTCTTCTTTTACTCATTGTTTCTCATGTAATGTACCTAGGATTTATTCATCGTTATGTGATATGTTTGAGTAATTGTTGACTGAATTTGTATTTGTGAAAATGAGGGCCTAGAGTTTGGTAATCAGGTTTTGCGTGGCGGAGTGTTGTTTCTGAAATACAAAAGGAAATGAAAGTGCATCCAAAGGAAATTGGCTGAGGCAGCAAGATGAACTCACCACAAAGAAGCAGAGGTACTGGGGTTACTTGAAGAGAAGGCTCATGGGGCTGTAGGCACCTATCTCAGCTCTGTGTCTGCTGGTGTCACTGTTATTATGTATTATTTCGATTATCATCACTGTCCTCATTATAACATTCATTTTAAATGTCACCAAGAGGAGAGCAGATATATAGATTTATTTTAAGTGGTCATACGTCTTATAATTTATCAGTGGATATGTTTCTAAATGACTGTTGCAAAAATAGCTCTCCTTGTGGAAACTATATCAGAGTTGTCACATATGAATAAACCCATCCCCAGATTTGATTTAGTAAATATGTATGTGGAAAATTATATTTAATAGCATAAAATAAACTGGAGGTTAGTCTACTACTGATAAACTAGAGAAAATACACAGCTTGACCTTTTTTGTGCTCACCTTTTATTATTTATCTTTCCACAGGACTATATCTTAATATTGGCTTTAATAATGTATGATTTTTGAGAAACCAGATACCTTCTAAACCCTTTGAGACACTGAAGTTTATGTACATAAATATTAATTTTATAGCTCCTTATAATATTTTTCCAATCAATCAGCTCCTCTTTTAGAACATTTTAGTAACATATTTTAAATGAAACTGCAGGGTTAGTCATATAAAATGTGATGGATACATGGTTAAAGGAAACTCAGAATCTTAGAATTCGAATGCAAGGAAAAGGTTGCCCAGAGGCACCGTAATTTCAGACTTTGGTACAAGGATCTTTTACACAAGAAATTTATAAGGATAAATATGAAGATGACAACCTATTTTTCCCTTAAAAGATATTTTAGTTTGATGAAGATAAATTATTTCCAAATGGCATAGAAATTTTATACTGTTCTCTCTTCTTCGAATAGGTTATGTGGGTATGCAATTTATGTCGAAAGCAACAAGAAATCTTAACCAAATCTGGGGCCTGGTTCTTTGGAAGTGGCCCTCAGCAGCCCAGTCAGGATGGAACCCTAAGTGATACAGCTACAGGTGCTGGTTCCGAGGTTCCCAGAGAAAAGAAAGCCCGGCTCCAGGAGCGATCACGGTCTCAGACTCCCCTAAGCACCGCAGCTGCCTCCTCCCAGGACACCGCTCCTCCCACTGCACAACCAGACAGGAGCAAGGGGGCTGAGCCCTCCCAGCAAGCCATGGGGCCAGAACAGAAGCAGGCTGCATCCAGGTCTAGAAGTGAACCTCCAAGAGAGAGGTAATAGTTCATTAACCCTGTAGGCAGAAGGCAAGGTCTTGTATTGACAACAAACCTTTTTTCAAGAATGTAACGGTTCTTAAGAAAAGATGTTTGGAAGCTCTGCTTCTCAGGCCCCACATGGAAGTGCTTTGTTTATCTCTAGAATGTATCATGCCTTTGGAGACCTTTGTTGAGAAGCTTTGTGGTCATATTGTGCACAGATATAATCCAGTCACCCAGTTGGGTACTGACTTCCAACCTTGAATTCAGCAAAGCTTTTACATCATTTCTTCACTTATCACATTAGTTCTTAACTGACTGTGTGCTCTGAGAGAATATGATGGGGTCACCTGACCCAGGGGAGGATGGCTGGGTACCTTAGCAGGCCTTCTTTGAAAACATTTCTTTTATGCTGAGCTCTGAAAATTGACTAGGAATTAACCAGGTGAAGAGTGGGATTGGTGTTCCAGGTATATGCAAGGGCATGTGGCCTAAAGGAACAAGACAATAGAGGGGCAAATGCCCTTTTGATTATTCAAATCACTCACTGATTTTATAAATACTTAAGAAAACAGCAAGGATATTGAGAGTGTAGAAGAAAAAGAGAGATAGGTAACAACTTTAGGGAGAGAAGCAAGACTGAAAGAATGGCAGTGTTTTAAATTATTGAAGAATCCTTGATCATATCTTCTTATACACTCATCAGGAGCTAGTGGAAATGGAACAATTAAAGGTAGAGGTGAGAAAAACAATCAGTAAGCAAAGAATTAGAGAGACTGAAGAACTCCTTCCATTTTCATAATATTCTATCCTTTCATAGACCATTTTCACAGATGGTATCTCCTTTAAGCCTCATATGAACCCTGCAAGGTAAGTATTCTTTATCAGTATTTCAGGAAAAGTAAATTAACACAATATAAACTTCTAACCAGATCAACTATGCCTTAATGAGCTACTAAATGTTTGCAATGCAATTATAATGCTCTTATGAAAACTATATTTTATAATGATTAATATGTATTCTATTAGTCCCCTTAAAATGTCACATCACCCTTGTGGACCAATGTAATCTGAAACAGATTTGCCTTCCTATGCCATATGAAACCCTTTACCCTTTCTTTTCACCATCAACAGCCCTTCCTCAAACTAACCCGTATCTTAGCAATTACTATTTTGGTAACCCACAATAGAAATTTCCCTTTTTTTCATCTTTTTTTTTTTCTTGATTTTTGTTTATTACTTCTGCTTTTGGGCTTCTAGTCAAAGGATGTTCCCTCTGGAAAGTCCTCTCTATGGACCTCAGGATTCCAAAATCAGTCTTAGTTTGTCTCCATTTTAATTGCATAGTAGATCATATAGTGTCAGAATGCTTTGCCAAGGCACCTGCTTTTTGTAACTTCTGGAATAGTTGCTGGAACTTTCCAAAATCAGGTGTACACCAGTGTACAGGGAAGGGCTGAATGGAGCACCTACAACATTCAAAGATTGGCAAACCCTTTTTCTTTCCTTTTATCTTGCCAATGCCTTCAACAGGATAGAGAGAAAAGTAGAAGAAAAACTGTTTAATTCTTTTGCACTGTGTTCTGAAATTAGAGGGAAAGAAAAAATGAATATTAATTTAAAATTTTCCAATATTTCTATTATTTTTGCCCACAGAAAGTAAAATAAAGATTAAAGGTCAGCCATTCTTTTCCTAACCAACTTCTTAAAAAGGTGTTTGGGTACACATGATCTCATTAAAATTTATTTTGTTCTACTATTGAAGAAATGCTATTAGATTTGATTTCTGAAATGGACATACTTGTATGTCCATTCTTTAAACGTTTCAATTGCAGTAAAAGATTGTCACTATCAATTGTCCAAATATATATCAAGTATATAGTTTTGAATTGGTTTATATTCTTTTGCTCCAATATTATTTACCTGTATTACTTTCACCTAAAATATTTTTAGTCTTTGATTCACAAGCAGTGGTTGGCATACAACTTATTCATTTATTGAATTAAGTTATTGATGGCATTTATTGACCTAGTTAATTTATAGAGAATTTGAAATGTGCAAATAATTTCTGAAGTCCCTGAGCATATTGTGATGCAAATGAGCCTTATTTACTAGTGGAAAGCTAGTGAGATATACAGGTTTAAGATGGTTCCTTATTATGTCGCTTTTAATTAGACATCGAATTATAAGTAATTATTTGAAAGGCTTTAAATCTGGAATACGAAGGTCTGGTCTTCACTTTAGGCTTTTACACCCTGCTCTCCTTCTTGACGTTCCTTTGTATATCACAGGAAGAAGACGCCTGGGCTCTCTGAACAGAATGGCAAAGGAGCCCCCAAGAGCGAGCGGAAACGCGTGCCAAAGACCTCAGTGCCACCCGGGGAGGGGGCCTCGGAAGACCGGGAGCGGAAAGAAAGGCGGGAAAGCCGGAGGCTGGAGAAAGGCCGGTCCCAGGACTTCTCCGACCTGCCGGCAAAGCGAGAGGAGGGCAAAGCGGCGGTTGATGAGAAGCAGAGGAGCGAGGACTACCAGACCAGGTACCGCAGCGACCCGAACCTGGCGCGGTACCCCGTGAAAGCGCCGCTGGAGGAGCAGCAGATGCGCATGCACGCCCGGGTGTCCCGCGCCAGGCACGAG